TATACTCAGGCCCAATGGGACGAGTACTACCGCCAGCAGCGTTGCGGCCAGTACACGCAGGTTGAGTGGGATGCATGGAATCGCACCCACAGGCGCTGAGTGCTGGTCTGCTTCATCTCATTTGCTTCGGACATGCAGGGCTCCCCTAGCTGTGCTTTATAAATGCTCGCTTCGGCAATCCAATCAAACCCACTTTAGCCCGGGGCAACCTGGAGCCAGTGTATCATTTCCGCCTTAGTTGGAGCAGCACGGCGAGGGGGGTGTANNGGTGTAGATTTTACCCTGCCTCCACAACTACTTTTGATGTCCTTAGCATAAGCTTTACGCGACGCGACTTGGGCTCAAGTCCGCACACGGTAAAAGTCCGCCAGGGTTCACGTATCTAGTCGTGTCTTGCTGTAGACCTGGGAAACTTCATGTCAGCCTTAAAGATGGTGAAACCTGAACATTGCTGCGAGTTCTACATGCGAATTCTAAACTCTCTGCCCAAGACGTGCTTCGGCCCCACCAACGTGCCAAACGGCCTTATGCATTCAGGAATGACACAAGATGGCTTCAGGTTTTTTGTTTGCGTTCCAGGGCCCCTACAAAGTAACTGACGCCTCTCTGGACGCTGTCTTGAGAAAGGAGCTAGCCTTCGCGCTGGGCAAGCTGTTGGGACCGCTCGGTATTGCACAGGACAGGTCTGTTGACAGAAGGTTTGCGGAAATTGGTATGCTTGCAGAACTTGTCTTGCTCGTCAAAGCTGCAAGTTTGCGAGTGGCTTCTGCTTTGGACCTACTTACGCGGGAGCTGGTTTCAAACGCGTGTCTCGTGAAAGAAGGATGCCGTTAGCTGAAACGTCAGTGCATTATGGTAGTTGCACAAGGCAATACTCAACAAGGCAGTGAGAGTTGTGTTCTTGTAATTTAGAAAATGCAGCCCGAATAGGAAGCGCACTGCTCTTGCCAAGTTTCGGACTGTGTGCCAGCGGATGGTATCTGGAGGTCTTAAATGAGCGTGGCGGTCTAAGAGTCTAAAGGTCAGCAACGCGTCGAGGAAACCATGATTTTACTTGCGCCGTGCCGTTGTATGCAAGCGGAATGACAATCTTCATGAAGGGAGCGTATGTTTGCATACAAAGTGGTACCTTACGACCTGAATTGAGACGTTCCGAAGAACCGGGCTTCAGGGCAAAGAGAAGATGAGCATGGCTGCCTGCTTTGCGACATACAAAAGGTAGAGACATCGCATGCTGAAATGCAAGCTTTGGTTGATAAGTTCCTCATCGCGAGGCGGATACTGAACCGTGGTGCGCCGCCGCTTGCCTTTGCAAGTAGGGCACCGGATTCTGCAGTTGACGATTGGCTCTAGCTTGGATTGGGCAACTCTGATGCACAGCTTCCAGATTGAATAGCTTCAAATTTGGAGTTGCCTAGCCTCGGATGATTCCTCTGGTCTTTGGTGCATGGGACTTCAGGTCGAAATCAGAACATGAGCTACTGTCTCTGCAACGGGTGCTTCGACTGCCAAAAGATCTAAGACTTGTCGAGAATCCCGCCTTTACTCAGAAGCTACCGTGTTTCTGCAAACCCCAAACCCTAATCCCGAAGGAACGTTGTCCCAAACCCTCCAGACACATTTTGACCCCTTTGGGTCGCTGAATCAAGACCCCCATCATGGCTGCTCATGGACTGTTTGAATGATGTGTTTTGGAGTCTCTGGGACCCAACATGCTGAACCCTCAAACTCTTTTCGCCTTCAGGGTGGTGCAGGAGCGCTGCCAACACCAGCACCCGGCAGCCGCCGCTTGGCATCCATAAGATATATATCTTCATGACGATGTGTTTGGGCTCTCAGGGAGGGCGGTAGAATCGGGGCCGTTCAAAGAAGCCTGTCTGTAACCCTTACAGAACCTGTGTCGTACCCCTTATGTACCCCTTTTTAGCCCTTCTAGGTTGTGGTTCCCCTTATCCCCCATGAACCTTTGTAGTACCCTTCAAAGGCTATCGGGGTTCTACCGTTCAGACAGGGTAAAGAGAATTGGCTAGCATCGCCACACGGCGTGCCAGGGCTGTACGATTAACGGCTACCGGAAAGACCCGCACACTGACAGCGATGTCTAGGCCTTGACGCACACAATGATTCAGGGGAGGATGTTTAAACACATCCAGGTCTGCCAGAACTGCTTAAACAAAACCCGTTTCAACAACAGAAGCTGACAGAAGTGTTTAAACATATTTATCTAAACACCAGATCTCCGAAATAGCACCTAGTTACCTAGTTATGCTGATTTACGGTATTTTCTTGAAACACAGTATTGGACTCCCAGGAGATTCTATCCCCAAATCCTTCAAATCCTTATGGAGCCGATATGAAATGCTGTATAGCCCCGTAGAGCCTGCTCAATCTAATAAAACTGATTAATCCCAGATTACAACCCCTTCAAGAGACTACTTCAAAAGCCTACTTCCAAAGGAGCCGAGTCGCGCTGAGCCTGCGCCACCCCGGCCGGGACTCGGATTTGAACACTCCTGGGAGCCGCCACGAGGTAGGGTCTTGTAAGGATTGATAAGGTGCCTGTAAGTGCTTTAGGATGTACGTAGGGATTAGGGCTGAAGGAGATTTGGATTTAAGCAGTGGAGCCGTGAGAGTTTCCGCGGGGGCAGGCCAGCTGAAACTCTCCCAGGAGAACACCATGAAGTGGGGAGTGAGGTGACACATTCTGCACTAGCGCATGTCCCCTAACTTCCAATGTCTCTTGGCAGATAAAGTGCTGCTCCCTTTCGCACCCTGAAACGAAGCCCGAAAGACTAGACGCCAGAAACCCATACTAGTCAAGACTTGTGGTCCATGTATGTATTACGTAGTGTAAGGGGAATGCGTTTGCTAACTGTTCCGATCCCTCCTTTGTGCGTGGAGACCTTCTAGTTTGGACATTCAAGGGCGACCTTGCGTGGAAGATCAATGAACACCACGAACATAAGACGACCACCACGACCACGAGCACAACAGCCAGGAGACCACCAACCGACGAATTCCAGACTATGAGGAGACAGATACCGCGAGGAGGCCAGCAAGAGACCAGAAGGAGACCACCAGGACACGGCCAATGCTTCTCAGGGACGTATGTCTTCAGGACCACGACCCAAATGCTATCCCCTTGGTACTGGCGGGCTTCACGAGGATTCGGGAGCGCGGCCAGAATGCTTTCCCCCAAGCACGGCGGATTCAGCAACAAGGTTTACCCTCAGTGCTAGCGAGATTCGAGACCGGGGCGTACTATGATTGCCAATGATTCCAGCTTGTCGGGAGACGATTGTCCAGTGGACTCCTGTAAAAAACAAGACGCGAGCACAAAAGATGCACCGCACCACAGCGGGAGCCGTGTTTCGGAGAATGCCAAAGCCTAAACCTCCGTAAGCTGTACACCCTCAACTCTATGACCATCGATTGTGTGCAAGTAAGTTTTTGTCTCTTTCAGTACTTGTCTCGCCTGAACAGTTGCCTCATTTGTCCATCCCTCATCGGCCCGCTTTGCATGTTAGTCATGTTTTGTTGGCAGTTTCGTTCTGTGACAGAAAACATTCAGTGCAACCCGGCCCGGCCGTTGGATAATGTGCTTTTTCGTGGGCCTTCTTAGTGCCTCTCGCTGCAGAAGCACACCCATCCAAATTTATCTCACATGTTTTATTGGGTGTCCATTTACCTAGTTCATTTCACCTAGTAACTCACTCACGCAGTCTGTTCATTTATTCGTTTCCATAGTAACCGCAAGATTGCAGAAATGTGGACCGCATTGTGCCACATGACAAGACTGCAACGGTCCTTCAAGTTAAAGCAGTGCCTCGAGTTGGCTGGTTTTCTCGGTCTGCACGAGATACAGCTTGCCATTGGTGGAGGGAGAGGCTAGGGCCGGAGCAGGAGCAACAAAGGCCGAATTGACTTGTACTTTAGTTGTTTTGCCGCCTATTTCACATGATCGAATCGGCAACGCTGTGGACCTGCGTGTTGCTCTTTGCATTGTTTTTGGAAAGCTCAAAAACCTAAATTCCCATCCGTTTCAAGCCAACCTGGGTTAACGTTCACGACCTGCTCGGCTTCATGCCGAAACTCTGAAACCAGGTGGGTTCGAAGCGCAAATCAATGTGGCAGAACCAGGTTTTTGGTACTCCTATGGACTTTAAAAAGCAAGCCTCCCATCTATGCCGACA